CCGTCCAGTATCCACAAACGAACCACCTAGGGCTCTCGGCGTCGCCCCTCTGTCGTCGCCAGGTACTCGCTCGTTGTGCGTTATAAGGTTATGTCGAAGAAAGCCGCCCTAGAGTGACCGACTCTCGGAAGCTCCGCAGAAGCTATCCCCACGGTCCTGTCCTATGGCATCATCTCTAGGGTTGAGTTACATCACAGCGGAAGCTCAAGTTGATTGGAGGGGCGCCAGGCCTGCACCTGTTGTCTTGGTTGTTCAGGTTCATCCAGGTCTGTTCAGCTTACGACACGGCATCGACGAGCTTCTATTGGAGCAAATGTCTTGGGTTGGGCGGGGGGGCTTCCAGACATGGTGTTCGACCCGTTTGCGCGCGACTCAGCTTCACGTACCTACCAACCCTACCAGCAGGTTCTTTTCTCTGGGGCCCTTTGTTTTGGGTCCTCTTCAGGAAGAATCCATCAAGAACCTTCGACCGTTGCCCACTATTCTCCACCCGAAAAGTACCACCTTGGGGGAACCGCCATGGCGATCGTTGTTAGGCTTTGCGGTGGGCGAGCCAGGCCATGCGATCGATGCCCTTCTAGCGACCGACCGGCGGCAGGCAAAGGCAAGGAGAGGCAAAGCTCCCAGACCGAACCGTCATGTTCCTCATCACCTGCCACCATCATCCCACCCCATGTCTCTCGTCTCGCCAGCACCTGCGACTCACCACCAATTGCCCCCACGACCAGAGGGCCGTCATGCGGCATTTGACGCTTTGGGATGACAGCATAGGAATTGTTTCCCATGGGCATTCAAGCATCGACTTGGCTTCCGACTTACCCATGGTCCCGTCCGCGAGAGGGGCCGCTAAACTTTGTACGGTCAAGCTTCGATTGCGACATCGACTTCGTCCCCGAATCTCGACCGGCAGCAACGTCAACCCGGAACATTTTACGCCCCAAAACAGTCAGCCATGTCATCCCACCCACAGCGTGAGGCAAAGGTACTTCACCTCGTGTCTCTGCTTCCAATGATGAAGAATCATCAAGCCGGCACAAGTCTATTTTGCCTGCACGTCCTGCCTGCGTGAACCTGTCTGTCCTACCCTTTACCTACCTCCTCTTCTTCTACCTCCCTCCTTCTCTCCCTCGCTGCCGTTGCACTGCTGGCCGTCTGGTTCATACACCCAGCGGGTTTCTTTTCGGCATTCAGTTCTGTTGGCTCGCCTTGTTCTTGGCATTCATCATTTTGGTCCCAATTCAGCCTGGCGCCCGTCTCTCTGACCCAGTCGCCCACGCGTGTAAGTCACGGGAGATCGACCACATCTCTTCTGATCTCTCCTGCCTGGCAGCGCATAAAGGACATTCATTGCAATTCTCGTCGCTTGCACCCAACACCCGACACCCCCGAGGTGTTTGCCGTCTCGCCGCCATGACGAGCACGCGAACCAAGATTGGTCACGGCCTGGCCAAGGTCCTGGGCATCAAGCTCCAGGAGAACGAGCCACAGGAGGAGATGCTTCGCGGCGAGTCTGTCATATCCACCCAGAGCTTCGTCGAGGAGCAGCCCACGTCGGCCGAATGGCTTGCCGAGCTTGTGCCCGACGCCGAGTTCTGCAGGAAATACGTCAAGTCGCTGTTCCCCTTTGTCAACTGGATCGGCTACTACAACGTCGGCTGGCTCATTGGCGACTTGGTTGCCGGTATCACCGTTGGCGCCGTCGTCGTGCCGCAGGGCATGGCCTACGCACTGCTTGCGAACCTCGACCCGGAGTTTGGCCTGTATTCCTCCTTCATGGGTGTCCTCATCTACTGGTTCTTCGCCACGTCCAAGGATATCACCATTGGTGTACGTTTTCCTCTCTCTGTTCCCTGTTCCAAGTTAGGTAGCTGTCGTGCGACGACAGATGCTGACAAAGTCTTAGCCCGTCGCTGTTCTGTCGACCGTCGTCGGCAACATTATCAGCAGGACGCGCAACGAATTCCCGCAATATGCACCCCATGAGATCGCCTCGGCCCTCGCCGTCATCTCTGGCGCGATTGTGCTGTTCATCGGCCTCATCCGCATGGGCTGGATCGTCAACGTCATCTCTCTCACGTCCCTGTCCGCCTTCATGACCGGTTCGGCCATCAGCATCGCTGTCGGCCAAACGCCCACCATGATGGGCATCAAGGGCTTCTCGACGAGGGAGGCTACCTACAAGGTCTTCATCAACACCTTGAAGGGCCTGGGCCGCACCAAGATGGACGCCGCCATGGGCCTGTCAGCGTTGACCATGCTGTACGTGATTCGCTCCGCCTGCTCGTACGCCGCCAAGAGGTGGCCCGCTCGCCAGCGCCTCTTCTTCTTCCTCTCTACCCTGCGCACCGCCTTTGTCATTCTGCTGTACACCATGATCAGCTGGCTTGTCAACATGAACAGGCGCCAGCACCCCCTCTTCAAGATCCTCGGCAACGTGCCGCGAGGCTTCCAGGACGTCGGTGTGCCTCGCATGGACCAGGGTCTCATCTCCGCTTTCGCATCGGAGCTTCCGGCCACCGTCATCGTCTTGGTCATCGAGCACATTGCCATCTCCAAGTCTTTCGGCCGTGTCAACAACTACCAGATCGACCCTTCCCAGGAGTTTGTGGCTATTGGTGTCACCAACATCTTCGCCCCGTTCCTCGGCGGTTTCCCCTCGACAGGTTCTTTCAGCCGAACGGCCATCAAGTCCAAGGCCGGTGTCAAGACGCCGTTTGCCGGTGTCATTACTGGCCTCGTCGTGCTGCTCGCCATCTATGCCCTGACTGCCGTCTTCTTCTACATTCCCAGCGCATCGCTCTCGGCCGTCATTATCCACGCCGTCGGCGATCTGATCACGCCCCCGAACACCGTCTACGGATTCTGGCGCGTGTCTCCGCTCGAATGTATCATCTTCTTCATCGGTGTCTTTGTCACCGTCTTCTCATCTATCGAGAACGGCATCTACGCCACGGTCGCCATCTCGGCTGCCATGCTCTTCTGGCGAATCCTTCGTGGCAGGGGCCGCATCCTTGGCAAGGTCAAGATTCACTCCGTGATTGGCGACCACGTCATTGGCGAGGACCACCGCCAGATCGTTGGCGAGTACGGCACCTTCGACCCTCAGGACAACGCCGCGCGCAACGTCTTCCTGCCCGTGGACCACGGTGACGGCTCGAACCCCGAGGTCGAGCTCGATAACCCCTATCCCGGCATCTTCATCTACCGCTTCTCCGAGGGCTTCAACTACCCCAACGCCGCGCACTCGCTCGAGTACCTCGCCGACTACATCTTTGCCCGCACGCGCCGCACAAACCTCGAGACGTTTGACAAGCTCGCCGACCGCCCCTGGAACGACCCCGGCCCGTCTCGCAAGGCCACCAAGGCCGCGGCGCAGCGTCAGGCCGTCGAGGGCCGCCCGACTCTCAAGGCCGTCATTCTCGACTTCAGCTCGGTCAACAACGTCGACATCACGTCGGTCCAGCAGCTCATCGACGTCCGCAACCAGCTCGACCGCTACGCGTCCCCCGACGTCGTCGACTGGCACATTGCCTGCATCAACAACCGCTGGACCAAGCGCGCCCTCGCCGCCGCGGGCTTCGGGTACCCGACCGAGAGCCACTCGGGCATGCAGCACCGCTGGCGCTCCATCTTCAGCGTCGCCGAGATTGGCGGATCCGACTCGGCCGCCGCCGTCGCCGAGAAGCAGGCCAACCAGCGCGAGTTTGCGTCGCAGCGCAGCCGCGCCGCCGACGAGGAGGCGGCGCTCAAGCTCGCCGGGGACGACGACGACGAGCCGCGCAAGGCGAGCGGGTCGGCGGACCGCAGGACGAACGTCCACGTCGGCGCCAAGAGGCGCGGCGTCGTCGTGCACGGCCTCAACAGGCCGCTGTTCCACGTCGACCTGACGAGCGCCATGCAGAGCGCCATTGCCAACGTCGAGGCCAGGGAGGAGCATGTCCAGGCGCAGATCCAGGACAAGGTGCAGGATTCGTCGGCGACGCAGTGATGGGGGGGGGGGGATTGAAGCAGCAGGAGCAGAAGCATTCGTCATTGTCATTGTTGCATTTGCATGGGATCGGCGTTTTATACTTTGATGGCCGTGGCCAATGAGCCCGAATTGACTCGTCTTTTTTACGCTTCAGGCAGTGGTGTACGTGATTTGAGCTGATGCCCATCTTGTCGACAAGATCCTCGTGTCTCTGCTTCTTTGCTTGAAAGAGAGATCTAGAGAGCTAACCCAGTTGGTCACGTCCAGGCTACGACCATGGTGGACCACATCTCAGTCCCGCCTACCAACCCACGAGGCCAGCAAAAGTGACATCTCGACCCCCCAAACAGCCCGAAAAAACAAGACCAAACCTCCTCTGGCACAAAATCGTAGGAAACGCCGGCAAAAGAGATGGCATCTCCCCGAGACAGGATCGAACTGTCGATCTCCCGATTTGCCAAGTTTCTTGTCTTAACAGTCGGACGCCTTAACCAGCTGGGCCACCAGGGATGGTTGATGTTCGACCGGTTGTGGTGGTGGGTACAGGTAGGGCTCGAGGCGGGGACCAGGCTGGAGAAGCAGAAGAAATGATCGAATGGGGCACATTTTGGGGTTCCTCCGGGTGTGGGCACTTTTAGGACCGCGCCCGGCGGGTTTTGGCTCCCGTTTCCCTGTTCGGCAGCTTCACTCTGGGTTTGTGCAGGGAGCCGGGCACTAAAGTCTACTCGGGAGAGAGAGAGAGAGAGAGAGAGAGAGAGAGAGAGAGAGAGAGAGAGAGAGAGAGAGAGAGAGAGAGAGAGAGAGAGAGAGAGAGAGAGAGAGAGAGAGAGAGAGAGAGAGGGAAAAGAAAAGGTAGAGAGAGCCAGTGACCATGCATCAATGTCAAAGTGCACAAAGGCCCGACTCGGCCTTCTCAACAGACGCTGGTCAGTTGGGTATGGCATGGCAGAGGGCGAAAGACAGTGTGCACCACCCGTGAGAGTCGCGGAGAGGGCGGCGTGCCGGGTTGAATGCTGTCACGATAATGAACATGCCCGGCAGCCGCGTTGGCCAGCATGGGAGGCCGCCAGTCGAGGTACACATGGTTTTCAATGGGCAGTTGGGATTGAGGCCATCGACGCCCTAGAGTCGACGGGCAAGCAAGAGGACGACATGGCGACGTGGTGTTCGGAGGCGCCGGTAGGTGCCTGGACTTGGCCTGTGACTGTGTTACAAGTGTGCCTAGCAAGCCAAGGTACGTAGGTAGAGAGGTAGAGAGGTCGCGAGCCTTGTGGGGGAGCTTGCTTCTCTTGCCTCAAGTCAAGTCTGATCACCCTTCCAGCACAGCCTCGTGGGCCCCTCGTCACTTGACCAGCAGACGCTGCGAGGTCGGAAGGATGGAAGGATGGAAGAAGAGCCATGTCGGTGTGCACTGATGTGTGTCGAAGGCGTCGAGGAAGAATGCCTCAGGAGCCTCAGGAGCCTCAGGGGGTCCCTCGGACGGCGGGGGCACAGCGAGGCCCTGGTGCTGGCAAGTCTGGCCGCCTTTGGTGGCCGCATCATGGCTGTGAAAAAGAGGGGAGACGATGGAAAAGGCCGGCGATGAGTGGTGTTGAGGTGCAAAGGCGGTCGCATCGAAGGAGGCCCGTTGCAGCGTTGGGTCTTCTTTATAGGTACCTCCTAGCAGCCGTAGGTCGGACGGCACAGGCAGCCGTAGGTCGGACGGCGCAGGCAGCCTCACCAACAGGTTGGTGAGGCCTCTGAGAAGAGACCGCACAGGGGCCAATGGCGACGCTCCAACGGCATCCCCAGGGCTCCTCGCTCAGGGAGCTTCAGGGCCTCTCCAAGCCCCATGCCGGCGCGACAGTGGCCGCCCATGTCCCGCCATGGACTCGACTTCCACTCCACTTGCAATGGACCAGGCCACATAATGGGCCTCCTCCATGTCGTCCTCACCACCATCCTCATCATCACCACCACCAACGATGACCAGACTAACGATGCCATACCAGGCTCCCTACTTCCATCCCGTACACCCGGCCCTCCAAGCACCAGAACTGGAAGATCTGACCGCTGCAATCCCTCCCTAGATGCCGTCATAGTACTGGAGCTGACTTTCGAACAACCCGCACCCATCCTTGCAGAAGCACCTGTCAAACGTCCACCGTCCCCTTGCAAGACCCTCATCCTCTCATGTGCATCTTAGGCTGTCAAAAAGAGACCTCTCACAGCCTCCGAACAATGTCATGTTGCGTCAGGAACCCAGACTCGTCAGGCGCCAGCTTGCCGTCTTTCCACTTTCAGACGTAGACTATTCTTGTCCCACGCACCTTGGGGACCTTACCTGGGTACCTTGGGGTAGGACTTTGCCAACCACCGTGAGACAGTTTCTATGGTCTCTGGTTGACTGGGACCGCTCGACAACTGCCTTCAGCCCCTTTCATCGGAGGAGCCATCATGTTGCTCTGCCGGTTGCTCTAGCCTCGATCCAGAGGAAGCCACCAACAGCCTGGGGGCCTGTTCCGAGCCATCTTGGTCCCAACGTTAGACATCAGTCAAGTATAAGTGCAAGTCCGCCAAAATACCTGACTTGAATAACGTCCTTCCCACCTCATCCCGACAGTCCACCTTTTCTTGTTCTTTTCTTGTTCCAATGTCTGCTCCCGTCTCCAGGTTTAGCAAGCTATCACTTGAAGACATGGCTTCAACATCGAAACCGCAAACACCTCGGCTTCCCCTGGATATCTCAGAGATCGAGTCGAGTTCAGACCCTGAAGGCGACTCGGAAGACTCGAGCGCCGAGGATGAGACCCCCACCATAGTGAGGTCGCCCACAAAGCTCACTTACAAGATCGACAGGCTCTCGGACGAAACCCGCTCTACGGTCCGAGAAGCTTTCAAGGACCCGCCAAGACTGTCGTTGCAGTACTGCCGTCTGCAGGACGACACTTATGCTTTTCAGATGACAGAGATGGTGCCCCGGTCTATTCGTATCGGCTCGTCGGAGAGCAAGTTTCCGACGCCGCGATGCTCTTGCGGCAAACAAAACGGACCTTGCAAGCACTTGCTCTGGCTGCTGGATCAGCTGGTCAAGCAAACCCTTTACGACCAGGACCCTGCTTCACCCTTGACCATGACGTCGAAGGGCTTCGCTGAGGAGGTCGGCGACCCCTTTTCGAGCATCTCCGATTTTCACCTCGACGTTCTCGCCGACAGCCTGCGCTGTCGAGTTGTTCACCCTGATTCCGGCAATGATGATGACGATGACGACGACGACGACGACGAAGATCTTGATCCATCTCGAGTGCAAGAAGCTCGTGAGCTCCTGGCCTCAGTTGCCGCTGTTGATCCCGAAGAGTATCGTGAAGATATATTACCGACCCTACGCCCGGCACCAACATCATCAAGCGCGCGACCTCGAGTGTACAATTTTCCGCATGCTCCTCGACAACAACGACTTCTTCCACTACTTTCTTTCCCGCGCTCGCTCCTCAGACCCATAAAAGACCCCTTCAACAAACTCGAGCGGCGTTCCTCGCGTGCTCCGCGACCTGGACGCCTACTCCGTG